AATTTACTTATTCTCTATCTAGTTAAATCTTATACTTAAGTTTCAACTTAAGATTTACTTCTCCCACGTAGTCTTTTCTTTCTTTTTTTTTCTTTTTAATGCCCCTCCAGGGCTGGCCATTTGAAGCCTTTTCTATTTAACCTACTCCATAGTGGTTTTCCCCTTTAAATTTCTTCAGTAATTGTAAGCTATACTATCCCATCATTTCATTGCCCTTACAATATCTTGAAATTTATTCTCTAGGTCACTGTTACTTATATTTTCATCCTAGTATGTACTTGTAATTTTTAAAAATTGAATGACAAGTCTCAGCTTCACCATATTAATTATTCCTTAGTCAAAAACTGGCAAAGGAGAGTATAACTAATTACATGTTTATAGAGAAGAGCAAGTATAATTATTTGACTGTCCAACGATATTTCAAAAGGGAAGAACTGTGCATGTTTAGAGGAACAATAAGATTCCCTTGAAATTTTTTAAAGCATACAGTTATGTCCAAGTTAAAATGCAGGAAACCTAATTTAGGAACCCATGAACAATCAGAGGTCACTGAATAACAAGTTTTTTTCTTCCCCTTAGGGAGTTCATTCACACAAATGGACCACCAATTTATCTGGTTGTGTTCCACCCTTTGCTTTGGTTGGTAGGAAACTTGGAAACAAATTTTTGGTCCATCTTCAGTATTTCTGGTATATACTTTTTTGTGTGTGTATGGGGGTGTGTGAGGAGGGGTGCTCAGTTTCCTTGTTTGTTTTTGCTGAGACAGAGTCTCACTCTGCCCCCCTGGGTAGAGTGCAGTGGCATCATTGTAGTTCACTGCAACCTCCAACTCCTGGGGTCAACGTGATCCTTATGCCTCAGCCTCCTGGGTAGCTGGGACTACAGGTGCGTGCTGCCATGCCCTGTTGGGTTTTTTTTTTTCCTTTCTTTTTGGTAGAGACAGAGCCTCACTCTTGCTGAGGCTAGTCTTGGACTCCCGAAATCAAGCAATCCTCCCATCTCGGCCTCCTAGAGTGCTAAGATTACAGGTGTGAGCCACCACGTCGGCCTCTGGTGTATGCTTTTAGTTATTATCATTTTTTTTGAGACAGGGTCTCCCTCTGTTACTCGGACATGAGGGCAGTGGTGTTGTCATAGCTCACTATAACCTCAAAATCCTGATCTCAAGTGATCCTCCCTCCTTAGTTTCCCAAAGTGCTAGGATTACAGGCGTGAGCCACCACACCCGGCTCCGATATATACTTTTATGTATTAACTTTATTCTTGGCTTCCTTTACTTTTAAGTGTCATTTATCTATTGATTTATATATATTTTGGTAATTTTCCTCAAACGTTTTCTGGAACACAGTGGGATGTAAGTAACTGATCAAATAAATACAGGAATGAATATACAAAAAAATATGATAAACAAATTAGATAAAATGTACTCACAGATTATGTCCATTGCCCTCTCACTTGAGGTAAGGTATTTATTCCCTTTGTCTGAGGTTTGTAAACTGTGTTACCTACAAGGGGCAGCCTGAGGGCTAACCTGCCGAATTTCCTTCCTCTCTTCTCCTTTGCCCCAACCACCAGAGCAGCCCCTAGGTATATTTGGCATTCAGATTTTATTTAAAGAAAGAGTTTTGATGGTAACAAATATGCAAACTTGTCTATACATTGTACACCTAATACTCACACATCAGCTGATAGTATTCATTTTATTGTGTGCTGTCTTATATTCTCAAATTCCCCAAGTCTAGAGTTAAGGTAGATTATAGGTACCTCTCTAGGCCCCTAGCTTTGCTGCTCTGAGATCATCTCTGAATAGTCAGGAATACTGTGAGAACATTATTATAAAGTACATATAAGCCTTAATGTGTAAGTATTTTAGAGGATGAAGAAGAAAAGAGAGATAAGATGACTATTCGTCTAAGTTATATTGAGAGAGTCTGGAACGTAGGAACTAGTAAATCACTAATTCATTTTTGCCATTAGAAAGTAGATATAACTATTGTGATATACTGCCTGCTTGCAACTTTTTAAAAATGTACTAAGCCGTAGAGGAGGAAAGCAGTCTCTTGGCTTCTGTGTACTCGGATGCGTGTTGTGTGCATTGTACATATGGCAGAAGTCTGGGCATCTTGCTAGTTGTTGAGCTTCAGGATCCACTCTGATTGCTTTCCCCAAATTGGGCAGGAGGTGTCCCATTTTCATGGGTACAAACATTCCCATTGCCGCCTTTTATCTCTCAATACATTGTTCCTACTGATGATGTGAATCACATGTTACTGTGTTTAGTTGTGTATACTTCTGTTAGACGGAGTTTCTTAAGGGCCCAGGACTGTGCATTATTTATATTTGCATCCCTAAGCATCTGGCTTATGCTTAGCACACAAGAAAACAGTAATTATATGGGAACCAGAATATATGAGGTCAGATCTCATAAGTCCTTTTCTCTACTAGTTACTATAAGTTTAGTTATTCAGTCAAAAAGCATTTGAGACCTTGCTATGTGTCTGGTATTGTGCTATGCACTGGTCATATAATGTCTGAAATGGGCTGCAATTCAGCAAACAGCTAAACCTGATCTGATTCAGCAGGAACCACCAGCCTCTTAGTGGAAAGGGATTCTTAGGGAATATCCACTTTCCTCTCTTGTAAAAAGTAACTTGTGGGGCCCAAAACTTTATTTCATTCCCTTCCCTGTAGGGCCAGGAAAGAGGAAAAAGCACATGACTTACCCAGGTCCCACACTCATCACACTCGACAGAATACCATAATAAGAACCAAATAATAAACTTTAATTTGAGTATAATACAGTAGTATATAATAATTCTTTTGAAGTATAAAAATAATTATAAAAGTTATTTTTCCATTTGCAAGTAACTTATGCTACAGACTATGAATAGTACATTGAAGCTATAAACTATACACATTTCACTACATTCCTAAGTGTGGGCCTTCCTCTCTGTCGTCACATGTAAGACAAATAGCCATGCACTACTACTCTGCAATCTTGAAACTTTGTCAAGACATTTCAAAAGTAACTATCCTTAATAACAGAATTGGATGGTACCCCTCTTTAAACAAGTCTTTATGTTTTTTGGCTCAATCCTATGGATTAAAAACTTTAAAAAAATTAGTCTAAAATTCTGCTGTTTTTGGAATATCTGGTTTTTCCCCGAAAGACAGGAAACTGTCAGAGAGAATCTAGAGTGTTAAATTCAACAAAAGTTCATTACCATCAATGAAAAAGCTTTTCAAGTATAGGAAATTTGAAATAATAATAATTCACTGTGAGACAGATTTCATTGCCAAAATCTACTAAGGAGTTCCATCTGTCTTTTCTACTACTGTGTTTTCTAATATTTTAAATGAGGTAAGAATTATAAGAATGATTCTAAAAATTACAGCAGATTCTGCCCAGATCTGACCCATCTAGTGCCTTGTGTGCTGAGAACCAGTTATTATTGGTAGGAACAACACAATAAGGAAACAGAGAAGCTTTGGCATATGAAAAATGATGTATCTTTGTATCCTAGAATTCAGTTATTCAGGCCAGTTTATTTTGATTTGTGCTCTGAACTGATTAGATCTGGGTCTAAGATACAAGACAGGAAAATTGGCCATCTTCCTGAGTAAAGTGGAAATAACCTCTTGCAGCTGTCCAGAAGGTAAAGGCTATCTTCAGTCACTGATCTTCTCTCCTTGGCTGCTTTAAATCCTGTTATGTTTTAATCTCTGTTCTATACAACTTCATCACCCAGAGCAGGATGATGTCGGGATGTCAGGATGTCGGTGGCACAAGTGAAACTGCTAATAGAGTGCTTATAGGAACTTTTCTGACCTTAGTGCCTCAAGGAATTCTGACTCTGAGTTCTCTTCCCATCCATTCTCTGTTAGGGATGATAGAGATGGCGCTGGACTTTCTAGACCTGTAACACTAGGTACCTTAAGCTAATAGAAAAAATCACATGGTACAGGAAGGCAATCTGAAACACAAAAAGATGTGAGTCTGTTTTCTGGAAATAGGCTGTGAGAGTATGTTCAATTGTATAGTAGGTTTATGTTGTCAGAGCTCAGAAACATGGGGCTGGAATATGTATTAGGACAGATTCTAGCCATTAGGAGGTCCTTCAAAGGGCTTTACACAATCCATGTTTTATTATCATTATGTTAATAAATGCCCACAATGCATATAGTCTTTGTAGCCCTACTTTCAAAATTGATGTTTATTCAGCAAGATACATTAGGAAAAATCTAACCTGTTTTGTTCCCTAAAATATAATGGAGAAGTGACTAACGAGATTTGTATATTTTGTTTCCTGAATATCTTCAGAGGTACCACACACATTTTTTCTCATAGTACTAACCTTTTTAAACACTGCAATACTCATCTTACTCCACTGTAACATGTTATTATCATCAATAAGTACTGAAAGAGTAATCCCATAAGCCTGTTATCTATTAATGCCTGGACAGTTTGATAAAGGGTCTTATGTGCCATTCTCAGAATCTCATAGCTATTATAATCTCTGTTCTCCCAAGATTCAGAGATGCTTTTACAAAATCATTTATGGAATTCCCCAAGAAAATGGGATGATGTACAGAGATGCCTAAACATAGGATGACAGAATGATGGTAATTCTTGAGCATCAAAGACATTTGTTACTGCAACTATGAGAAAATGCCATGAAATGCGAACATAAAAAAAAGTTACGCTGTTCTCCTTAAAGTCAGTAAATTACATAAGAGTACTCTGATGTAATTTTTGGAAGAAAGGCACCAGATAAGTCCAAAGTCTTATTGCTAGTAGAATCATACAGGGGCCGTAGACTATAGTACTTTGTTCAGCCAGGAGGCTAAATCTAAGAAAGTCAGTCACCGAACTTGAGGCTTGAAGAGCAAGGAAAGAAAATGTCAATAAAATAGAACCCTGCATCTTACTTTAAACTTGAGGAAATGATTTCCAATTTTATGTCAAAGTGGAAGCTGGTTCCTAGAACTCTGAAGCTATTTTAGATAGGCACTCTGTTTTCTTTGGCCCATTTCTTCATGATCCGGATGATGTACTCTACTTGAGTATTACCCGTGCTTCTCAGTAAATGGAGCACTTCTCGAAGGGTGTCTCTGAGGAAGAGATTTGAAAGGATGTGTTTCAATAAAGAATGAAAATTAAGAAATAAAATAAACTCATAACTGTTCTTCATACTGTACTTCAGTAGGGCATTTCTGGTAATAGACTCCTCCACGATGCATTCATAAAGCAATTACAAACCTTCTAGCCTTCTATTCTTATGGTGGCATAGTAAAATGGAGGAAATTCTGTGAAATCCTTCTCACCAACCCAAGTGTTTCTTGTTTATCTGTGCTATCTATATATGTACTATTAATCTCTTTGTCCTCTCTGAGATGACCTAAACATTCCCATTTCCATGCTTATTCTGCATGATAGAGTAGAAAAGTGTATTCAAGAGCTCGGTTCAAATTCTAGCTCTGTCGCTAATAAATCACTTACTTTGTTTGAATCTTAGATTTCTCCCTTGTTTAAGGTGATCACCGTAAACTGGGTGTCACTACCGTGTTTGTAAAATTTTACAAAGCCAACAGAATAGGTGATTTCTTCAAGAAAGATAATACATTAATAAATACAGAAGAGAGGAACATTAAGGACTAAGACTTGGCAAATGTCCAGCATTGATGTGTTAAGTAATTTAAATTTAATTAAAACTTATATTTAGGCCAGGCGCGGTGGGTCACGCCTGTAATCCTAGCACTCTGGGAGGCCGAGGCGAGTGGATTGTTTGAGCTCAGGAGTTCGAGACCAGCCTAAGCAAGAGCAAGACCCCGTCTCTACTAAAAATAGAAAGAAATTAGCTGGACAACTAAAAATATACAGAAAAAAATTAGCCAGGCATGGTGGTGCATGCCTGTAGTCCCACCTACTTGGAGGGCTGAGGCAGAAGGATTGCTTGAGCCCAGGAGTTTGAGGTTGCTGTGAGCTAGGCTGACACCACGACTCTCACTCTAGCCCAGGCAACAGAGTGAGACTCTGTCTCAAAAAAAAAAAACCCAAAAAACACAAACAAACTTATATTTAAGTAATGTATACTAAAACTTCCCTATTGCTTTAGTAAACCTACAGGTGACTATGAACCCATTTCCCTAAGACTCTTCTGGTATTTTCCATTTCTAATTCTTTGAGACCTAAAAGAAAATACAAGAAAAAGCCAATAGGTTAAAAAAGAAAAAAAGTAGAAGAGTGAAAAAGACTTTGTTTATGAAAATGGCTATTTATTTGGAACCACATATACATCTTGCTCTTACATTTAAGAGCTGTTAGTATACCCAGTGTCCCTAGTATACATGATTTAGAATGATCTGATTCTATAAAACAAAGCATTTCCAGAGGAAAATGGTTAGATAGAAATATTTAATATCTTAACATTTTTTCATCATTCTAAAACATCATCATAATTTTGATTTTTCAGAATATATCATCTAAGAAAATAATTATTTTCCCTCAAAACCCAGCAGCAAATGAAAAGAGGCAATATTTCTTGTCTGTTTACTTACTTGGGCTCTCTGCCAGCTAAGATCATCTGGAAAATGCCCACACAGGCACCCCTTTTGCCTTCCCAATATTCAGGGTTGGGATCCAGTCTCTCTAGGACATCAAAAGCTTTGGCTGAATAGTAAAACTGGCCCATCTGAATAAAAGAAAGTACTGGGTAATACTTAGTGAAAAGATTGCACAGAATGAAACTAAACATAAAGATGACAAGAAATAGAACTACATGAAATAAGTGCGTGGGTAATGACAGTATTTTCAGTTAACAAAATAGATAAACTTCAATTCCTAATTAAAACAAGAAGAAGGAAAATTACACTTTGGGTACATCAGTTTAAACCAGCTTACCTTCATTCAGTTTTCAACAGTATATAGCATTTTTTCTGTATATAGTCAACTTATGCTATAATCAACACATTCATTATTTCTTCTAATTATACTCTAATCTTGAGGATAAACTCGAAACTGTGATTTGAACTGGGTATTTTTCAAGTCTCCTCGACACATTCTTTTTAGAGGAGTATTATCACTCATTTTATGCTGATGTGATCATGTTCAGCTCAAGAGGGTGGTCTTTCCCTGATCTTGTTCCTAAATTCTCAGAATGCCTAGACACATACTGACTACTACTACTCCAAACACTAAATATTTAAAATATTTAATTCATTTTGACAGACATCTTTCCAAATATACTGCACATTTATTTGGCCTCCCAGAACATGCTGAATACTATTAAATTTTGCTTTGATGAGTTTTCTTGATTGGCAATCATAAATGCATACCGTTACCAATTTCATTTAAGTCTTCAAATTGCTGGACTACCCTCTTTACTCAGTGTGGTTTAGTTACTGCTCTATTCCTCCTAACAGTTTTTCTAAATCTTTGACAATTTCCTTAAGCCTCTACTGCATTATTAGCTTAGCTTTATTCTATACTTCTTAGGGAAAACACAACTTTCCTCCCTTCAGTTCAAATTATATTTATACTTTCATTCATCCTTCCCTCCTTTCTGCCTATCTCACAGGAAGGAGTGTCCATATACTTTTCATGGTTAATCCTTCTACCTATGCTCTCTTAAAAAATATTTTTTATTGTGAAATAACAGACATATAGAATGGTGGATGAAACATAACATGTACAGCTTACTGACTAATTGTAACGTGACTACAGTGTACCCACCACCCAGGTGAAGACACTGACAGCAAAAGAAAAGCTCTCTGTGTGTCATTTCCAGACCATAACTCCCTCTTTCCCCACCAAGAAGAATTACCATTCTGACTTTTATGGTCATCAGTTCTTTGACTTTCATTATGGTTTTATCTCCTATGCATACATCTTTAAACAATATAATTGAGTTTTGCCTCTCAGAACTTTATATGAAACAATACTATAAATATTCTATTGTGTCTTGCATCTATGACTCAACATTATGTTCATAAGATCCATCTATATTGCTATACATAACTCTAGTTAGTTCACGTAAGAAAACCTTTTTATTTTGAAATAATTAGAGATCCATGGAAGTTACAAAGATTGGACAGAGGTCCCATGTATTTTTCACCCCATTTCCCCCAAAGGTTGTAGCTTACATAACTATAGTACACTATTATAATATCAAAACTAGGAAATTGACATTGGTGCTGTGTATGTTGATGATACTTATTTCTTCACATGTGTAGTTTCATGTAATCACCACCACTATTAAGATACAGAACTATGCTATCACCACAAAGATTTCCCTTTATAAAGTCATTTATAAATGATTTTATAGTCACACACATGCCCCTTCCTGCTCACCATCCCCAACCTCTAATAAACACTAATTTCTTCTCCATCTCTATAATTTTGTCATTTCAAGGATGTTATATATATATGAAATCAAACAGTATGGGACTCTTTGAGACTGGCTTTTTCTACTTAGTTTAATGTCCTTGTTAACCCAAGTTACTGTGTTTGCTTCTGTTATAATAGTCACCCAGCAAAAGCAGGAGGGACCCCCTCCCCCACCCAAAGTTCAGTTTGGATGTTGAGACTGATGACACCACAAACACAACATGAGGGTAGGAAAAGTTTTCTTACTTACATAATTGAGGTCTCTAGGGAGAGTAGAGCAGCCCTCTTAAGCAGGTCGGAAATGGCCTGAGAGAGCAAGGAAAGGAGGCTGGCCTGGGTGTTTACCTTGGTTAGGAAGTGGGGCTGGGTGAGGGTTCCTGTGCATGGGCAGGGGCTTGTGTGGTCTAAATCACCCAATGGTGACAAAGAAGGGAGCACAGAGGTTTATCATTTTGTCCAGATGTGGGGCATAAGGGGAAAAGGCAGGGATGAGGTTTAAAAGCTGTCAGTAGTCAAACATCAAGAAACGGAGTCAGACTCATTACAGTTTCTTTTTACTGAGTAGTATTCCATGCCAAACCAGTTTGTTTAACCATTCACCTGTTGAAAGACTTTGACTGTTTCCAGTTTTAGGCTATTACAAATAAAGCTGCTATTAACATGTGTGCAATAAAATTTGTGCTGTTAACATATGTACATTTCTATAGATATAGGTTTACATTTATCTGGGATAAATGCACAGGAGTGCAATTGCTGGGTCGTATGGTAAGTGTATGTTTGTTAAAGAAACTGTCAAAATATTTCATGGTATATATTTTTCCATCCTTTTACTTTTTTTTTTTTTTTAGAGACAGGGTCTCACTCTGTCACCCAGGCTGGAGGGGGCTGGAGTGCAGTGGCCTGATTATAGCTCTCTGTAGCCTCAAACTCCTGGGCTCAAGCCATCCTCTTGCCTCAGTCTCCCAAGTAGCTAGGACTACAGGTATGTGCCACCGCGCTCGGCTAATTTTTTTAATCTGTTGTAGAGGCAGGGTCTTGCCATGTTGCCCAGGCTGGTCTTGAACTCCTGGCCTCAAGTGATCCTCCTGCCTTGGCCTCCCAAAGTGCTAGAATTAAAGGCATGAGCCACCATGCCACATCCATCTTTTTATTTCGGACCTATCTATATCATTATATTTGAAGTGAATTTCCTATAGAGAGTGCACAGTTGGGTTATGGTTTTTTTATCCATTCTATCAATATCTATCTTATAATTGGTATATTTAGACCATTTATATTTAATGCAATTATTGTTACGTTAGGGTTAATTCTGCCATGTTTCTCCCATTTGTTCTGTTTTTCTTGGACAAGGACATCTCACATATGTCCCTGTAGTTTGCAGCTGGAGAAAGACGTGACCAGGTAATCCCCATGGAGGATAAGAAAGCCTGTGTTTGACTTTTCTAGCCTTCACCTATACATAACTTTTTCCTGATGTTTCTTCAGTATAATAAATCTTAGCCATGAATATAACTTTATAGTGAGTCATGTGAGTCCTTCCAGTGAATCATCAAATTAATGGGTGGTCGTGGGACCACTGAGACACTAGGAAATGCTATCGTTTTTTTCAAAGTGGTTAACTTCCTTTGATCTTAATCCTATTCCCCTCTCATCTCCTCTAGCACCTTACTCCATCAAAAATTAACGCACTCTTGAATTTTTAATCTTCCCATTCAATGGCTCATTTTCTTCTGCCTATAATATACTTTTATCCCTCCTCCCATTTTAAAAGAAAAAGAACTCCCCACCTTGCCCCTCAAAAAATCCTAAATCCTGTTTTTCCTTTTAAGTTAGCACCACATTTGTCTCCTTAACCTCAGTATCAAATTTTTAAAGATTCTGGTACAACGCTTCTGCTTTCTAATCTGACTCTCTTCTCTGTCCACTACTGTCTTCTCAGCCCTCATGCATTTCTTTCTAGCTTCAGATTTGACACTTTCTTTCCTTGGCTTTTGATTAAATAGGAACAAGAAAAAGAGTAATGAGTAAAAAATTCCTTGTTCTTTCTTCTTTGTTCCTTCTGTCTCTTTTACTTGCTCTTTCTATTTCTATCCCTTAAATACTGGTGTTCCACTAGGTTCCTTACCCCATTTACAGGTTAATCTTAATCTCTCTCATACTCTGCTGCTGCTGTTCTGCTACTACTACTGTTACTATTACCACCACTAACTACTGTTAACTTCTAAATCTACATCACTAATCCTGATCTTTCACCTGAATACCTAAGCTCCAGACTCAGCCGGTTAATTTCCTACTTCTATTATCTCTGTAGGGAGCCCCAAAGATACTTCAGATTTAATACATTTAAAATTGAAATATAATAATTTCCTGTCTTTTTTCCCTCTGTCCCCTCTCACTTACTTAACAGCATCGCCATTCACCAACCCATATTAAACTATTATTTTCACGTTTCTTGTCCTGAAACCTTTTCCATTGATGGTGATTCATCTTTTTTTTTGGTAATGATTCACTTTGACATGAGCTGTTGCTGATTAATACAATACTAGACTCTTTTTACCTGACATTTTCCTGTCTTTTAGACAGGATGTTACAAAAATAGGAATTTCCAGAATTTGAGGCTAATTTTTTTTTTTTTAATAGAGACAGGTTCTTACTCTGTTGCCTGGGCTAGTGCAGTGGTGTCATTATAGCTTAGTGCAACCTCAAACTCTTGGGCTCAAGCAATCCTCCTGCCTCAGCCTTCCAAGTAGCTGGGACTACAGGTGTATACCACCACACCTAGCTAATTTTTCTATTTTTGCTAAAGATGGGGGTCCTGCTATGTTGCCCAGGCTGGTCTCAAACTCCTGGCCTCAAGTGAACCTTCTGCCTCAGCCTCCCAAAGTGCTTGGATAATAGGTGTGAGCCACCATGGCCAGAGGCTAATTTTTAAAAAAATCTTTTAATCTATAGGCTAGGGTCCCAAACTCACACACACACACACACACACACTCTCTCTCTCTCTCTCTCTCTCTCTCTTTCTCTCTCTCTCTCTCACATATACACAAGAGAGCCATTCCTTTACTAAATCTGACTGTTTTTAATTCTCTTTTTTGGGTTCTTTCATCTTTCCTGTCTACCATTTGCATCTTAGTATTCCTCAAACTTTGGTTCACAGCTCTTCTCACTGTACGTTCGTACCTGGCTAATCACTCTTTTTCAGAGCTTCAATTAATAGTTATGCACTCCATAATGACATTTTCGTCAATTATGTACTGCAAATGTGATGGTGGTTCCATAAGACTATAGTATAGTACTTTTACTGCACCTTATCTATATTTTAGATATATTTAGAGATACAAATACTCACCATTGTGTTACAATTGCCTACAGTATTCAGTATAACATGCTGTGCAAGTGTGTAGCCTAGGAGCAATGGGCTATACCATATAGCCTAGGTATGCAGCAGGCTATACCAACTAGGTTTGTGTAAGTGCACTCTGTGATGATCATACAATGCCGAAATCACCTAACAAAGCATTTCTCAGAATGTTACCCTGTCATTGAGTGATGCATGACTGTACTTAAATGTGATGATGACTCCCACTCCATGTCTCTAGCTGTCAGATGACATCTCTCTTAAGCTTCAGAACCAAATTTCCAATTATCAGATGAATATTTTTAACTTGATGGTACACCTAAAGATTCATAGTCTTTAGAAATCCAAAACCTCCTCTCTAAATACTTATTTCATATACGTGTAAAACTCTGAAATTCTGCCTATCTCTGAGATCAGTTCATTCATAAAAAGGATGACATTTCTAGTGATACCATGTAAATCCTCTCACTAATAGCCATTTAGTCTCTAGGACATTTCCCCCTGATATTTAGCCAGTGCAGCAATGTGATTCTGATCTTCAATTTTCCCTTTAGTCTAACGCAGACTCACCTTGTAGCAGTCATTAGCAATGAGCTGTAAGAGACTAAAGGACTCGCCAGAGGTTTCCATCTTGAGATAAAGTTCCCAGGCTAGTCTTGGTTTCTTATTCATAATATCTACACAAGAAAACAAAGATTTATGCTTTTTAAATGTACAAAAACCACTTCTGCATCTTATTATTCTATGGATTTGGTTCTATATTCCAAACAAACAAAGTAATGGTAGAATACCTCTTACATGGAAAGCCTGCAATGTTGGCATTAAGCTGGCTCCCTATCAGAATTCTACCATACTTAAAATGTTTAAGCTAGGAGTCACATAACTATGTCTTTCAGATTGGATTGACTTCCAGTAGTTCCCACTTTGCTCATCTGCTTAAAAGAGCATACCTATCATTCATTCAATTCTACTCACAGTTTCAGCCTCATTTAGAATATCTGATTGCTAAAATTTTCCTGTGACTACAAAAACTCAGTGAACAATTTTTTTTTTTTTTTTTTGAGACAGAGTCTTTTGACACAGACACACTCTCTTGCCTGTGCTAGAGTGCCGTGGTGTAGCCTAGCTCACAGCAACCTCAAACTCCTGGGCTCAAGCGATTCCCCTGCCTCAGCCTCCTGGGTAGCTGGGACTACAGGTATGTGCCATCGTGCCCGCCTAATTTTTTCTATTTTTAGTTGTTTGGCTAATTTCTTTCTATTTATAGTAGAGACTGGGTCTCGCTCTTGCTCAGGCTGGTCTCGAACTCCTGAGCTCAAGCAATCTTCCCGCCTCGGCCTCCCAGAGTGCTAGGATTACAGGCGTGAGCCACCGCGCCTGGCCGTCAGTGAACATTTAAAATCTGAGTGGAAAAAAAAGGAGCAAGAAAAGATAGTGAGTAAGAAAATAGAGAGAGACAGAGAGTATAGGCTCTATAATGTACCAAAAAATTGCATTTTTGACATTTTGCCACTTTTCAGGCCTGAAACATAGTGAAAAGATAAAATTAGTGTAATAATGTATTTCACAAACAACATTGTAAGCTGAGACTCTGGAAACTTCAACAAGGCTAAAGGAAGAACTTGGTATTTTCAGGACTGCTTAGATCACTGTTGTATAGTACAACTAATCAAAGGGTAAACTTACATAACATATTTACATGGCAACCCTTACTGAATAGCATTAACAACCCTTAATTTCAGTGTTCACTCATTCTACACAATAAAATACAAAATAAAATCAGAAAACAATCATTGTTATTTCCAAACAGATTATGTAACAGTAAAGAAAAAGAAGATTCCTCTTGTAATATTTAAAAGAAGACTCACAGCACCGAGCTAACCAACTGAGGTAAATGTAATCATTCTTTATCTTCTCACTTTGGATCAAGAGGAATACCTACAAGAAGAAAGAAAGGGAATGAACATGAGGATGGTTTTGCAATACAAATACCCATCGCTGGTTTGTCTTAGATTGATAATCACTGTCGCCTTATAGATGATCAAATTGTATAAAGAGGCCGGGCACAGTGGCTCATGCCTGTAATCCTAGCACTTTGGGAGGCTGAAGTGGAAGGATACCTTGAGGTAAGTATTTGAGATCAGCCAGAGAAACAGTGAGACCCCACTTCTATAAAAAATAGAAAATTTTGCTGAGTGTGGTAGTGCAACACTTGTAATCCCAGGTACTTGGGAGGCTGAGGCAGGAGGATCACTTGAGCCCAGGAGTTTGAAGTTTCAGTGAGATTATGATGACACCATTGCACTCATGCCCAGGCAACAGAGCAAGACTCTGTCTCCAAATAAATTAATTAAATTAAATTTAATTTAATTTAAAAATTCTATACAGGCTGCTAAGAAAGCGAAGGACAAAATTGTGATGATTTTAACAAACTTCACTCAGAAATGGATATTAGAAGCTGACAAAAAGTTGTTGAGGATATAGAAGGTTTGAACAGAATAATTAACAACTATATAATACATATTCTTTTCAAGCCTACATGGCAAGCCTCAACAAATGTTAAAAGACTAGTGTCATACAGACACAATACAATTAAGTTAGAAATCTAAATAAATAAATAGATATTCATCGAGCTGTATACTTGTGATTTGTATACTTTTCTGCACATATATTTCCATAAAATTCATCAAAAAAGGGAAAAATTAACATGGTTATAAAATCAGTATCTATTCACATTGTACTTTTTCTTTTCTTATTTTTAGAGACAGAGTCTCACTATATTGCCCAGGCTGGAGTGCAGTGGCATAATCATAGCTCACTGCAGCCTCAAACATGTGGGCTCAAGTGATCTTCCTGCCTCAACCTCCTCAGTAACTCGGACTACAGGTGCGTGCCACTATGCTCCACATTGTACTTTTTAATGGAACCCAAGAACAAAAGAATCTTTAATAATCCTTTATCCTTGATGATTTTATTTCAGCAAGAAAAAGATAAGGATGTTTTTATATAGAATCATTCAAACGCCTTCAAAAGCAGGTACCTACCTCTTCACCCTCTCTGGTATTTCCTGTTGCAGCTTTGGCTTGGGCATAATTAAAATTAAAGATGTCATCATTATAGAAGTAACTCTGAAAAACACCCCAAGAACAGGTGACATTGAGCATTAACATATAAAATATAAAACCATCAGTTATATCAGATAAACATAAAAATAATCTTAAGGAATTAGCTGATGCCACCAATGCCACCATAGAATAAGGGCCATCTCTAAGGGTATCCTTTTTTCCCTAACACATTATATATATATATATAGTATTTTGTATATAAAGTTATACAGATAATTCTATACTGACCTTAAATGAGTTGAGGTAAATTAAGACATCATCAAATTGCTTAAGCAGGAAGAAACAAGAAGCCATGCACTGCCTCCCTGGTATTGTGTCTGAAATGGAGTGGGAAAAGAAACCACATATATTCATGAAACTGAAAGTTCTCTTTAGCTGAAACTTGAGTTATTTTACAATGTAGAGTTAGGAATGTATTCCAAGACATCTTTCTAGATTCTTAAATTATAAATGCTGTTCAGTGGACAAAACCCCAGCATAATAGAAGTCACGGTACTTGAGAGTAACCAATGATCTCTCTGGGGATTAACTTCCAGAGTCCAAAATGAACACATACCCTGCAGGTACACTGGCTATAGTATTCTCCAGATTGTTTTCCAGGACTTTGATTTCCTCATCCAACTCTAACATCTGCGTGCTCAATTAATATGGCTTGGTCTCCATCATCACTTGTCTAAGACAATGTAGCACTTCCAGTCTCAAATGGAAAAGTAATTTTCCATGGAACCATCTGATTCTGATCCTGATCCAACTTTTTGTCTGATATCTATTTGAGGTAGTGGAGGATTAGCATAACCCCCACCTTGCCACTGGCATTCCTGACTCCTTAACCTATTCAATGTTTTCCCTGTAGCACCTAGTCTGACATACTATGTAATCAACTTACTTATTATGTTTCTGTCTGTCCAACTAGACTGTAATCTCCACAAGGATAAGAAATTTTGTTTGTTTTGTTTATTGCTGTATCCTCAACACCTCAATAAACATTTGTTGTATGAATGAAGAATGAAATGGGGAAAGGAAATGTTATTCAATGGTGTTAGTGAAAAATTTGTGAATATCCAGGGGTGATAACAATGTTTTCCAATCAGTTCAGCATGAATATTGTTAGTCAGAATAGATGCTGGCCATAGACAACTAGTATAGGCAGCCATATTGGTTTATACTGGCTAACTATCAGCCCTTTCTATGGCACTTTCCCAAATCTTTCATGGAATCTTGACTGATGAAATCAATACTTTCAAAATAAAAATGAAGCCACAAGACTACTAGTGGGAAATATAGGTGAATATCATATATAGGTGAAAGTGGTGGTAAGAAAGCACTTTCTAAGCTTGATCCCCATGTAAGAAATGATTATAAAAAAGATAAG